CTGGCACAGCAGCATGTGTTTCAGTATCACAAGTACTTTTGTCTTGGGCTGGCGATTCTAAAAAAAATTGAACCTTCTCTCAAATCAACAACCCCGAGCAAAGTAGGTACCGAGCTCTTCCACAATTCAAGTGTTCAAGTATTGTGCGTAGGGTCTGTGTGCAATATATCTACCACTGATGTGGACAGTAACCTTCTACTTCAGCCTCATGCAATCACTGTACAGTTTGTAAAGTAGAGCTCTAAAGAGGGGGAGGCAGAAGCAGCACAAGGAGCCAATCAAATATGGTGCAGTGCAAGGAGCATGCTGATAGTAGCATAGAGCAGAAAGAGAGATTAGCTCATCAGTCTAAGGCGTCCCCTTTAAGGGTCCAAATACAAGGTGGGAGTGGGAAGGGGACTTGTAAGTGAAAGTAAAATTGCAACAGAAAAAAATCAGGTCCCCTCCTCTGCCAGACAGGGCTGTGCTGTAGGACAGAGATATGTAAAATCTTAGGACTTGATGGAGAGAAATACTTTGGCAGATATAACAGCTACCTTATATGTATTTCACCTGTGTATGTAGCTGCTTGCCTGGAGTTTAGTTTTGAAAAAAAAACGTCCAACTCTTGTTCTCCAATTTATTAGTTAAAGTGACATTAAACCCTCAGATTTTTTAACATAAACCAATACCGTAATGTGTGCCTTACTGTAATCCATGGTTGTTTCCCTTCTCTTTGCTGCTCTTCCTTTTAAATCCTCATGTCTTCTCATGCTGGGGGAGAACTTTCATTTGCAGCTGAGTGCCTCTTCCTGTAGTGCTGGCTCAGGTTGCACACCTGTACACAGACACCATGTATCCATTCCAGAGACAAGGCAGTCTGCTGAAAAGGGAAGTTCGCTCCAAGCATGAGAAGAGATACGGATTTAAAAGGAAGAGCAGCAAAGAGAAGGGAAACAACCATGGATTACAGTAAGGCACACATTACAGTATTGTTTTATGTTAAAAAATTTGAGGGTTTAATGTCACTTTAAGCTACTATCTTCCCAGCTTTTTCTTCATTAAGTAATTACAGTTGTGGTTATCACTGAGGAAGATAGGCCTTCCACAACAATGTATTCCTCCTTATAAACAAATTAAGAAAGCCCAGCAGCACAATGGTATGATGGCTAATCAAGTGACTTTCACAGAAAGTGGTGATGCTTTAATCCCTTAGACTCCATTCAGATATGTGCATTGTGCTAACGCCTGGCAAAATGTACATCTATACAATCGTTCTTAACGCATCCGCACTGTAGAACACCAAAAAACAAGGCTGTGTGTTGTGGTGTGCTGTGTTGGAAATGGTACAGCATGTTTTTAGGTGCATTACTATATGCTGTCAGGTCATCTGAAGTGAATGTTCGGCTTTAATGGAACATATGTGAACATGTGCGATAACATCTGTGCATTAATGTACCCTAAAAGTACAATATTTAAAAAAGAACGGAGAGAAATAATCTTAACCCTGGCAGTGGGGCTACCTCTGCAGTGCAAGGGTTAAGTGCTTGATTTGAACCTCAGAGCTGGCTGGCTGCTAGACCAGTCCCTTCAGCCTCTCTACCCCTCCACTTCGGCAGTGTAAGGTCCTTTGAGTCATCCTGTACAATACACTCTAATGGACGTGAGGATGCCAAGGAACATTCTATAACAGGTGTGGAGGAGTAGACAGGCTGCAGGGACTGGTCGAAAATGAGCACTTTCTTTGCTCATGCGGGGCTAGCTGACCAGAGTTCTTCTTTAATATAAACAATTAAAAGCTGCTGAATTCATTATGACAGTGAATACATATTTTGTAGCATGGCTGAGCAGTAAAGGCCCCTTACTTAGGGGTCTATTCACGAAGCAGCCGAAGGATCTAGCCGTAGCTTCGGCTGATCCTGCGGCTAGCTTCGGCCCCAGGACCCCTTCGGTTCAGTAGAACAGCAGGGCTGCTGTACGGGCTATTCACAATAGCCGGTACAGCTCCCGAAGTCGGCCGATCGGCTCAGTCGATCCAAGGGATATGCTTTGCTCAGTCGAGCCGAGGTGAAAGCCGAAGCTGGCCGACAGCCTGCTTCTGACAGCTGGGCGGAGCCAGCCTTGATCTTACGGCTGGCTCTGGCCACCTTCAGAGAGATCAGCGTTCCTGGTTACCTGCTAACCAGGGACACTGATCTCCAGACAGCTATGGTGACATTCCTATGTCACCATAGGAATGCATTGCTAGATTCCTATTGGCTATTTCAATTTGCAATAGCCAATAGCAAACTAGCTATTGCACCCGCCCACTGCATTGAACATGTTCGACCAACCCGAAGCCACACAAAGCCACCCGATGTACGGCTGTTTTCAGCCGATATACGGCTGAAATCAGCCATACAAACCTGAAGTGAATAGCCGAACAGCGTTCAGCCTTCAGGTCGGTCGTTCACTTGGCTGCCTACGGCCTACATTACCCCATTGTGCCATTACTATATGTTACTTGAAAAGCTTTTTATCCCAAGTGAGACAGACAAAGATCAGCTGCCCAATATGAATTCATAGAAAGTTAATTTCACTAAAGCTCAGAAGTTTTCAGAAATATTTTTTAAACTCACTCCTTAGTCCTTATATTCATTTTACTGTGCTGTATCCTTAGGTGAAGTAAAGAAAGGCAAAGTGTCGGGATTCCATAGCTGGATCCGGTTTTATCAGCTGGAGAAGAAAGGAATGTTGAACTATTTCAGCCACAATTATGATGGGCCGGTAAGTTTCTCTCCATTTGGATAAATCATTTGTGGTCACTTCTCAAATATTTGACTGACAGACATCCATGTTAGGGCTGAACCTCAGAATAGTTTTCATTCCTTTTAAAAAGTCTTTATTTTGATTTGAAGCATTATGGCTAGAGTTCTGTACAAGGCTTAGTCCATACCAACCACTATGGGAGACTGTAGGACAGCTGGGGTAATGTGGATTATATAAAACATGTTACTTACCTGCATAGAAGAAGAGGACGGACTCTCTATTCTACCAAAGACTGGTGACAGGGGGATCATGGCGACAGAGAGTGGGTGGTAGCGTTAGAGAATCACCTGCACACCATACAGTGCTTGAACCAAAACGAAATATCCGTTGGGGCTCGAAATGATGACACAGCTATCGCCATGTAACAATCCAAGTAAAGATAGTAGTCACCAGCACTCACTTGTAATGTGCAAAAAGGATAGCACTTTTAGTGATATGTCACATGCGTCAAGAAGCCAACGTTTTGGGGCCGCACAAGGTCCCTTTATCAGGGCAACATTGTGGGCGTTCATGATTTCGCCCTGATAAAGGGACCCTGTGTGGCCCCGAAACGTTGGCATGTTGACGCATGTGACAAAAAACTTTAAACCAAAAACTTTAAAACCCACCTTATGACACGTACAGCCTAGAACAGTTTTCTCCTATAAGGTTTACCTTATGTGAGGCCAAGATGCTAGCAAAGTAAGAACTGGCAGGTTAGCTAGAATTTAATATAGTGGATCAATATATGAGATACATTATAGGAATACAGCATCAGAAGCATTAAAGCTGGAATGTGGCAGTAAGCAAGACTGTGACCAAGAGGGAGTCATTAATAAAGAGACGGAGAACTTTGAGCTATCAGTCACCAGAACAGAAAAACAGTGGAAATCTTCCCATTTGACATTTGTTCTGGTGTCTAAGTAAGCATTTTGCTCACTTTGGAGATGTTCTCCCACTTCCTGTTGTGTCTATAATGCAGGAATTAAAAGGGAAATATTTTCCAGTATCTCTTACTGTTGGCAAAAAAACCTAATAGGGGTTTTAATCATTTGCTACTCTATCTAAAATAACAAGCAAAGTTTTGGCTTTGGATATATTTTAAATATTGTTAGCAATGGTTTGCTATAATTTTTGTCCTTGAATAATTATGTTCCTGTTACATTATTAAGATAAGTTTAAGGCCCCTTTCACATGCGTGCCTTCAGTTCTGATCAGCGGGGGATCCATGCCCATCTCCTGCTGATCAAAGCAGTTCAGAATGGATGTCACCGTTGTGACATCCGTGTCCATCGAGTTGTTTGTTCCATCTTGCGATGGAGAAAAACCTGAGAATACAGGACCCATGTTGATCTATGGTAACTCCGTTAGTTTTCCGGACCTGTCCGGAGTCGGGGGTAATCGGATGTATATTGACGCACATCGGTTTAGACTTAAAAACGGACAGGCAGACCTGATCAGAATGCCCGTGTGAAAGGACTCTAAAGGCTGTCCATACTATCTGTGTTTAAGAACTGTTTTCCTGAAAGAAAGTCTTATTCTTTATTACTATAAAGGGATTATAATTCTGAATCAACTGATGTACAAGTCACCTGCACAAAAAGAAAAAGAAAAAGGAAAGAGTAATTTTATAAAGGAAATAAAGAACTCATTCATGTTCATTCCTGCTCACCTTCTTACAGCTATCTAACTTGTACATGGTGGAGCAGGCAGTAAGAAGACAAAGGTGTCTTGTTGACAGACTATCTTTATCTCTCCTCCACACCTAAATAGGTGTGAATTGTTCTTTCCATGGTAAACGTTTCTTCCCAGGAATAATTTGCTTGCAAAACCTCTTAGCAATCATTTCTAGTCATTACTCTTAATAAATCCTTCACACAACTGATTAATATCAACAGCAAGCAATTCCCATGAATACAAGTGATGAGCTCAGTAAAGACCAATTAAAGCAATATATATCATGATGAAACAGCACACTTATTCATAGCCTTCATAATATGTAATTGCCTTTTGGTCTATTTACTTGCTGATTGGTGGACCCATGCTCCACCAGAGTGTGTGCCTCTCCCATTAAGTAAAGGAATTGGTGATGGGACCTGTTCACCGAGAGCATCAGTTTGCCCAATGGAGTGAGTCAGCAATTCAAGAAGAATATTTGGTTTGAGTGAATTAGCTCACTTTGCTTTGAATCTCTCTTTGGGTAAACAGATTAAGTCATGGCAAGGTTCTCGGGGCCCAGCCTAGCAACATGCCAACTGCTCACTGCACAATTTATAAATAAATTATAGTGACCATAAACATGCCAGCAATTTAAAAGTTGTCAATTTTTAGGCAGTCAATAGGATGCCACTTGCAACTTTCCAAGGGTGTTAGTTAGTCATAACCACTTGGGCTCAGTACAACTGCCCCCATTCAAAAAATGGTAGTGGTTAGAAAGTGGAAGTTTTCCTATGTTTTGAAAGTGCTTTACTATGATTTCCATTATAATACATTGTTCCATAAACATTTTGCTAGAATTTAGAACGCTTTCTCACTAGTTTCTGAAGACTTGCTACTGAACTACTTATCAAACACAGGGAAAATGCTCTAGGCATTTGGCATGCAGTTGAATAAACCATCCTTGACTAATTATCTAGCTTTAAAGTAAACATTTATTGAGATCCTATGGAGGCTGCCATTGCTGACCTCTCCTTCTGAAAATACTACTTTTCTGCCATTTTTATTGATCCAGTGGATCCACTAGTTTTTGAGTCACTAACCACTGAACAAGCATGCAGCTCTGCAAAACCAAAGTGAACTTAGAACTCCTGATCTGCATGCTTGTTCAGTGATTCAAAAACTAGTGGATCCACTGGATCAATATAAAAAGGCCGGAAACTAGTATTTTCAGAAGGAGAGGTCAGCAATGGAAACCTCCACAGAAAGCCAAGCAAGTAGCATTGTCAGAGCAAGGTCTTTAGTGCAGCCCACATGCTTTCCTCAGTGTAGGTTAACTTTAAAGTACAGTCAGCTGTTACTCTCAACAGAAAGACCTGGGGAAAACTTATAAGGCCTCATTTATAAAACCTAAGCTATACGTCAGACAGATGCCATTCACATGGTGCCAGCACCCCTAGATGGCGCTGATTAGCACAGGAATTCTGTCTGTGCCATCTAGGGGCGCTTGTGCCGTGCAAACAGCATCTAGAGCAGTTTTATAAATGAAGTACATAGGGTCCTCTTCTGCGCTATACAAATTGGTTGAATGACTAATTAGTCATTTCTCACAAGCCTGTAGTTCCTTGAACTAGGTCAGTTGTCTTCACTCTGCATTTCTTTTCCTAGTTGGTGGCCATAATCCTTTATGCTCAGTTAACCCTTAACCCTGGCAACCACACTAGTCTCAGCCTCCTTCCATCAAGTGTGGTCAGTCACGACTAAACCTGGTGCTGCTACGTATGCAGTACCAACATTTCCACATTTAGGGGTCTATTGACTAAGCTGCCGAGGGCAGCCGAGTGAATGACCGATCTGAAGTGAAGTGAGCCGAACACTGTTCGGCTATTCACTTCAGGCTGGTACAGCTGATTTCAGCCGTACATCGGCTGAAATCAGCCGTACATCGGCTTGCTTCGCGTGGCTTTGGGTCGGCCGAACATTCTCAGCATGTTCGGCCGACCCGAAGTGCAGAAGGAGTTCGACTCAGCCGATCCAACATCTGGATCGGCTGAGCCGAACCTCCGGCAGGCTTCTCACTGCTGTTCGGGCTATTCTTAAAGATACCGAATAGCAGTGAGTGAATAGCCGAATGTCGCTGAGCGGCATTCGGCTCGGCTGTTCTGCTTGGTCCCTCAGAGGGACCGAGCAGAACAGAAAAAGAGTGAAAAAAGTAAAAAAAAGTAAATAGAAAACGATTGTGCGGAGCTAGCAGTGACAGCTAGCTCCGCCCAATAGTTTCCTATTGTCCGGCGGCTCTGCTGCTGTAA